TTTGTGGAGTTCATGGGGCTTGAATTTCCTTTGAATTTTGGGAAACATTGGAGGAGTTCGGGGGAGTTTTGATGGGGGGAATTTGTAGATAACCCGGAGGGGAGTTCTGAGCATTTGCCGCGGGGCGGAATTAAAGGGAAATCATGTGCAACTTTAAATTTTGGAGGGAATGGAGGGAAACACGGAGGGAAGGGCTGACTTTGGGGTAATTTTGGGGGTGCCCCGATGCTGCGTGGCCCTGACCCGCGCTGTGCCCGCAGCCCCGTCCATCCTGCGGCGCTCCCGGGCGCGCCGGGCCGGGAAGCGCGTGCGCTTCGCCCAGGTCACCGTCTACTACTTCGCCCGGCGCCAGGGCTTCACCTGCGTGCCCAGCGCCGGCGGCAGCTCCCTGGGCATGGCCCCGCGGCACCACCGCGCCCGCAGGTACAGCCTCAGCCAGTTCGCCCACCTGCGCCAGGTGAGCCACCGGCAGCACCTGCGGCAGCACCTCCGCCGGGAGAAACTGCGCGCCAGGAGGAGGGAGGTGAGCGGGGAGGGACTGGGGGAGTCCCAGCTGGGAAATTGGAGGGGGTTTGGGGTGATGGAGGGAGTCTGGGTGGAGAACACCTGGGGAGGGAGGGCAGAATCCAGGTGGGAAATAGCTGGAGAGGAAGAGAGGGTGGAATCCAGGTGGGAAATACCTGGGGAGGGAGAGCAGAATCCAGGTGGGAAATACTTGGAGGGGAAGGGAGGGAGGGAAATATTTGGGGAGGGAGGGAGGGCAGAATCCAGGTGGGAAATACTTGGAGGGGGAGACAGTGTGGAATCCAGGTGGGAAATACCTGGGGAGGGAGGGTGGATGTGGAATCCAGGTGGGAAATACCTGGAGAGAGAGGGAGGGTGGGAGGGTAGGAAATACTTGGGGAGGGAGGGTGGGCAGAATCCAGGTGGGAAATACTTGGGGAGGGAGGGAGGATGGAATCCAGGTGGGAAATACCTGGAGAGGCAGCAGTGGGGGACCCGAGTACGGAATACCTGGAGGGGCTTTGGGGTGACAGAGGGTGTCTGGGTGGAGAATACCTAGGGAGGGAGGGCAGAATCCAAGTAGGAAATATCTGGAGAAGGGAGGGAGGATGGAATCCAGGTGCAAAATACCTGGGGAGAGCAGAATCCAGGTGGGAAATAGCTGGAGAGGGAGGGAGGGTGGAATCCAGGTGGGAAATATCTGGAGAGAGAGGGTGGATGTGGAATCCAGGTGGGAAATACCTGGGGAGGGAGAGCAGAATCCAGGTGGGAAATACCTGGAGAGGGAGAGAGGGTGGAATCCAGGTGGAAAATAGCTGGAGAGGGAGGGAGGGTGGAATCCAGGTGGAAAATAGCTGGAGAGGCAGGGAGGGTGGAATCCAGGTGGGAAATAGCTGGAGAGGCAGCAGTGGGGGATAATACCTGTGGGTATTATTGGGGTGAGAAAGAGTATGTGGGTGGGGAATAGGTGGGGGTGGATTTGGGGGAGCCCCAGGTATTGGGGCTGGGAGGGGGAATCCAGGGCGGGAAATACCTGGATGGGTTTGGTGGTGGGGTGGGAAAGCCCTTGGGGAGGGATTGGAGGGAGGGAAGTGAAAAATGCCTGGGTGAGCTTGGAAGAGGGGCAAACTGAGGGGAATCCAGGTGGGAAACACTTTGGGGGGGATTTTAGGAGGTACAGGGAAAAATCAGTGCGGGAAACACCTGGGTGGCATCCGGGGATGATCAGGATGTTCCAGCGGTGAATGTGGCAGTGCGTTTCTAAAAAAAAATCCCAACAAAAAAAGCTCTTTTAGCTCTTTTCCTTTGGGTGGACACACCTTGGGAGAGCTGAGGGAAGCACACCTGGCCAGGTGTGCCCCACGTGCCCACGCGTGTAAAAAAAAATGCTCTTTTGGGTGGACACGCCTTGGGAAGGCTGAGGGAAGCACACCTGGCCAGGTGTGCCCCACGTGCCCACGCGTGTCCCTCCGTCCCCAGCTGACCCAGAACGGGACGGTGCCGTCGGCCGAGGCCGCGGGGCTGACCTTGGCCGACGTGTCCGACGACGACCTGGACGTGGGGCAGGTGGAGGTGGGCGATTACTTCTACCTGCAGCCGCTGCCCACCAAGCGGCGCCGGGCGCTGCTGCGCGCCTCGGGCGTGCGCAGGATCGACGCCGAGGAGCGGCAGGAGCTGCGGGCGCTGCGCCTGTCCCGCGAGCAGTGCGGCTGCCTCTGCCGCCTCACCTGCGAGCCGCGCACCTGCGCCTGCAGCCAGGCCGGCATCCAGTGCCAGGTGAGCCCCAGGTGCGGGTCTGGGGCGGGATGGGGGCCAGGTGAGCTCCTTGAGGAGTGGTGAGAGCCAGGTGAGGGCATCCAGAGCCAGGTGAGCCCCAGGTGCGGGTCTGGGGCGGGATGGGGGCCAGGCTGCTCCTCGAGGAGTGGGGAGAGCCAGGTGAGGGCATCCAGTGCCAGGTGAGGGCATCCAGTGCCAGGTGAGCCCCAGGTGCGGGTCTGGGGCGGGATGGGGGCCAGGCTGCTCCTTGTGCTCCTCAAGGAGTGGTGAGAGCCAGGTGAGGGCATCCAGAGCCAGGTGAGGGCATCCAGTGCCAGGTGAGGGCATCCAGTGCCAGGTGAGCCCCAGGTGCGGGTTTGGGGTGGGATGGGGGCCAGGTGAGCTCCTTGAGGAGTGGTGAGAGCCAGGTGAGGGCATCCAGTGCCAGGTGAGGGCATCCAGTGCCAGGTGGGCCAGAGGACAGGGGTTTGGGGTGGGATGGGGGTCAGGCTGCTCCTTGAGGAGTGGGGAGAGCCAGGTGTGCCAGGTGAGGGCATCCAGTGCCAGGTGAGCTGGGAAGAGGGGGGACAGGTGGGCCTCGAGGCACACCCACTGTGCCCATGTCCTGAGGGAGCAGAGAGTGCCAGGTGGGGCAGCTGGGTTTGTGCTCTTGTTCCTTGGAGGAGCAGGGACAGTTCCAGGTGTGTTTTGGGCACACCTGGAATGTACAAACTCCTCCCCACCCCAGAGCCACATTCCTGCTGTCCAGGTGGGATTTGGGATCACTCTGGGGTGGGATTCAGGCTCTGGGGGGATCCTCCAGCCGTCCACGTCTCCTCCCAGAGGAGACACCTGGCTGGGCTACGGCCCCACCGCGATGTTTGGGGTGGGCTCAGGGCCGGGAGGGGCCCTGCAGGGTCCCACAGGTGCCCCCTGTGCCCAGGTGGATCGCACGTCGTTCCCGTGCGGCTGCTCCCGGGACGGCTGCGGGAACGCGGCCGGGCGGATCGAGTTCAACCCGCTGCGCGTCCGCACCCACTTCCTGCACACCCTGATGAAGCTGGAGCTGGAGAGCCGGCGGGAGGAGGAGGAGGAGGAGGAGGGAGCTGCTGCCCTCCCTGGCCCCACCTGGCCCCCCCCCCAGCCCCCCGAAACTCAGGACTTCCAGGAGTACCTGGCGGAGAACGAGCGGGCGGTGCTGCACCTGCAGACGGCCGAGGAGCTGGAGAGGCTGAAGGCTGAGGAAGACTCTGGAAGCGGCTCTGGGGGAGAGGGAGGCGGGGTCTGCGTCCTGGGGGAGCACCTGGATGACACCTGGCAGGTGAAACCTCCCCCGTGCCCCGGGCTCGGCTCCACCATCCTCATCCCGGCCCAGTTCCCGCTGGAGTCTCCCGTCCTGTGCTACCCCTCGGGGCAGCCGGCCCAGGTGGGCTCCCAGCCTTACCTGGCCGAGGCACCTGGGCTCTACTGCCAGGAGGAGCCGCAGGCAGGTGCCAAGGGTGGGAGTGGCCACGTGGAGCATCCAGCTCCAGCTTCCAGCCCCCCTGGGAAGGAGCTGGGGGTCCCACCTGTCCCTGCTGCTGTGAGCAAGGGAGGAGCACCCCAAAATCTCCCAGAGCACCTGGAGCACCCCCACCTGCCCATATGAGTGGCCTCAGGCCCTCTGGCTCCATTATTTATTCCATGGATTGATTATTTAATTGGTGGGGGCTGCTGTGGACAGAGGAGGTCCCTGGCCAGGGCCAGGAGTCCTTCACTCACCTGGTGGGGGTCACCTGTGCCAGGACTCAGCTGAGCTGGAGCCTCGGATCCTTCCTGTTCTCCATCCCACCTGGTAGGGGTCACCTGTGCCAGGACTCGCCCGAGCTGGAGCCTCCTGGATCCTGTGGCAGCTCTGTCCCCCCTGGCTGCCTCCACTTTCCTTGTTTTTAAGGGAAAAGCTCTTTTTCCCTAATTCCTGTTTGTTTAATGAATGTTTCACCTGGGCCGCCTCCCGTCCCACCTCATCCAGGTGGTGCTGCCACTCACCTGCAGCTGGGATGGATGGAGAAACACCTGGAACTGGCACGACAGACCCAAGAGTCCCCAAACTCACCTGGAAGATTTTGGGGGTTGAACCAACTTCACTTCCTCAGCTGGCTCCTCCATCACCTGGAACTGATCACCTGGACCTGCTGGAACTTCTGGGATGTTCATTCCCTTGCTGGGAGGCGCCTCCAGCAGCTGCTGAGGGGCTGGAGCTGCCCCTGCAGGGACCAGGATTTGGGATGTGAGGGTGCAGGAGTGTCCCTGTCCCCTACCTGTGATCCTGGCCCATCGCAGGTGGGCTCTGGGCATCCAGGTGGTCCTGGGCCGACTCCAGCAGGGTCAGAGCGCTGTCCTGTTCCCCATGGATGCAGCGTCACCTGGCCCTGCCCTGCCTGGTCCCTGAGCTCTCAGCTGCCTCCTTGCCCACCCCAGGTGAGCCCCACCTGGCTGTGTTGCCCAAAGAACCTGTTCCTGCCATTCCAGCCCTCGGGATCCATCCCACCATGCCAGCGGGATCCTGCAGGTGTGCTCAGGTGTCCTGCTCCTGCTGTCCCGTGGATGTGCCGTTCCTGGTGAACCTCCTGGAGCACCTGCAGCTCCCTGTGCTGCTCCTCAGGTGCTTCCTGCTCACCTGTGCTCCTTCCGGCTCCGGGCATCTCCACTGGCATCAAACTGGTCAGACTGGGATGGATTCAGGTTCTCCAGGTGTGGATTCTCCAGACTCACCTGGGCCCTGCAGCCCTTCCTTGGACTGGGATTCATGGAAAACCCACCTGTGCTCCGGACCTTCCTGCAGCTCTGGGATCTGTCTTGGGGTGAAACTTCTCCTTTTTGGGGCTTTTCCCTCTTTTTTGGCTTCAGCCAGGTGAGACCAACCAGGGCCAGGAGCAATTCCAGCCTGAGAAGAGGCAGGAGTGGGGAAAATCGGGATGTGGGGTGGGGCTGCCTGTTCTCCACCGGGTTTGTGCCCCAAATCCTGCATTCTGCTCACCTGGACCCTACAGACTGTGGGATCTGCTCGCCTGGAGCTGCTCACCTGGTGGGATCTGTGCCCCTGGAGCTGCTCACCTGGTGGGATCTGTGCCCCTGGAACTGCTCACCTGGTGGGATCTGTGCCCCTGGAACTGCTCACCCGGTGGGATCTGTGCCCCTGGAGCTGCTCACCCGGTGGGATCTGTGCCCCTGGAG